GGGCAGCCCAGGACTTAAATACTGCTTTTCGGCCCTACACCTAGCCAATGTGGGACTATTTGTCCGTGACATTCTCCTCCACCCAATCACGTGACGCCCTCGTCACGGATCGGCTCCACCGAGGGTCCCACTGGACCATGGAGAGTCCACACACCTGGCAGGCAGTAATCTGCTTTGATACCACTTGTCACCTCCCAAAAGAGCCCTTATGGGTGGTGGGCAGCCCAGGACTTAAATACCGCTTTTCGGCCCTACACCTAGCCAATGTGGGACTATTTGTCCGTGACAATCCGCTGTTCTGGCACTCCACACTCCTCAACTCGTTTCCACCCCCCCTCTGTGTTCCATCTCTACCCTAGCTTTTGTTAAATAGAGTTTATAAAAAAAGGAAATATAATCAGTTATCTATTTATCATTTTACCATTACTTCTTTTACATACACACATACACACACAAATTTTTCTCAACATTTCAAGCAAGAATTTGGCAGAAAAAAAAAAGTTCGGTCAAATTCCGCATAAAAGGTTAGAGTGAATAGAATACATGCACGTGTCCCGAGCTAAGAACTCCCAACCCTCTTTTATCTTCGAAAAAAATACTTCTTTACCAATAATTTAAAATATATATATATAAAAAAAACATTTTTACTACAAACCATGATTTAAACCCATCCCTCATCGCAATCGAAATAGCAACAGAAATATTGAAGCAAATCTCACGATTCAACAATTTTCTGTCCATCGCGTATGTCGCCTGTGTGAACTCTGCTCGGAATAGAATTCCCTCTTTAACTGCACCCCACCACTCGAAAAAAAATTAAATCAGGAGTAGAATGGAATTACGCCCGGTAACACAAAAAAAAAATATTCTTGTGCTATTTAATTGTTATTGTGTTATTTAATTATTATTGTGTTATTTAAATGTTTAAATATTATTGTGTTTTCAAAATATTTTTAATATTATAACACAATAATATATTAATAATATTTGAATAACATACGATAACACACGTAAATAACACTAACGAAATATTCGCTTTTGTTACCTCTCCGGCATAATTTGATTGCATTCCGACCACCACTGAGGAGCGCGCTCGCTGGGTGGGCGAGTTGCTACAACTGAAGTGCGGAGATGGGAGAGGCTGGAGAGCGGGATCAAGTGTGAGTGGGAGTGAGACAGAGATAAGAGAGAGAGAGATAGTGTGCGTGTAGAGAGAAAACGGTGATGGTGTTCAAACGCAAGTTCTTCTCCTCAAAGAAGTCCTCCGATTCCTCCAGCCCCGATGGAGGCTCGAGCAGTCCTCGATCTACCAGCTCCGGTTCCGCTTCCAGATTCGAGAAGAAGAAGGTCCGATCATCTCGGGAAGACCTTCTTTGCACTTCCGTCAATGGCGGCCCCCCTAAACCCCGC